AGCACACAAGCATAAGTTTGAACCAGAAGGTGAAGATCTTCGACGCGTGTGTCGTGGCGAAATTGACGCACTGCATGCACACCGTGTGGCTCAACAAGGCAGAGCGTTTGAAGTTGGGCGCCTTTCAAGCCCGATGCCTGCGAATACTCGCGGGTATACCGCTCCCGTACATCAGTCGTATATCGAATAAAGCTGTCTTGAACACCTGCGGTAGTACACCTCTGAGTTCAACTTTGACGTGCCGGCGGCTCCTCCTGATGGGGGATATCGCAACCATGCTGGACGACAGCGCCATCTGGAGATCTGTCTTTATGCCAGGCACGACCGCATTGGCGCGCCCCTTCGGCGCACTTAGGCGCGACAGACCGAGAAACTCCTGGAAAATATGCGTGTGCGAGCTGGCATGCCGGGCGCCTGGCGGACCGCAGGCCTTGAGCGCTTTGTGGCAGTAAGGGCTGGATGCCTGGCGGCTGATCGCCAAAAGCTACAGCTCTGCGCTTCAACGCTGTAATGTATTATGCTATTTTGTCATTTTCCATTTCATGCTTCACAGCAGTGCCGTTTCACTTTCGCCAGTGCACCTATGATGTGCACGGCGTCTCCCTCTGGACGCGCTTCTGGGGCTGCGCTGAGGGAGGGCGTAGTGCCCGACGCCCGAAGAACTCGCGCAGACTCGGTGCAGTTCCCAGCCCGGCACGTCGTCCAATGCCCTTTGGGCAGCGACCCTTCGCAAGCCAGGGGCCTTCGGCGCGCCGCGAGGGGCCACCTGTCGCATCGCCCGCCGTGCGGCGGAAAGGCGCTGGGCCCGCGAACGTGTGCTCGGTACGAGGCTGTGCAAGCAGGGGGCCCGTCCGCTTGGGGCCTCTCCGAGCTCCGGCGGCGGCGTTCACCAGGCAGCTCCAGGCACGTTACGACGAGGAGGGCGAACTCGGGCGCACCGTCGGGTAGTTGGGTTCCGGGGCATCAGCGGCAGCTGAAGCGGCGTCAGCGGCAGCGGCACTGGCGGGCGCGTAGCGGACACAGACAGCCTCAGCACGAGGAGGAGGAGGAGGAGGAGGAGGAGGAGGAGGAGGAGGAGGAGGGCCCCCCCCCCGTGAGCGCAATGCTCTCTTTTTTGTTTTGTTCGTTTTCCTCTCTCTCTCTCTCTCTCCCTCTCTCTCTCTTTCTCTTTCTCCCCTCTTCTCTCTGTCCCCAGGCCTTTCGTGCCCCTCCCGCGTCCCCCCTGGCGCCGCGCGCCCTTCCCTCCCTCCCCGCGTCCCCGGCGTCCTCCCCCTCCCCTTGCCCCCGCCTCCTCGCGCGTTCCCGCTCCGTTCTACCCAACCCGGCTGCGCACCCCCCCCCTCCCCCACCCCCTTTGTCTGAAGTCGGGCGCGTACCCCTACAGGAAGGAGTGTCCAGAATAGTCAAAAATCAGTATGCTGACGTTTCTTCGTGCTATTAAGATCATGCGGCGCGTATGTTTTGACTATGCTCATTGTTCTGTCGAAAGCCGCCTGTAGGAGGACGTGCTCGACCTAACCGAGGCCCTTGTCCTTCCTCCTTCGCTTGTGGTGGTAGGGTACAGCGGGGGCGCGCATTAAGAAATTACATGTTATTCGTCAGGGTTCCTTGGTTGTTTTCGCTCCGCGCGCTGCGCGGTGGCTTCCCGTAGCCGTTGAAGAAGCTGGTGCGTTCAGGGTGTGTTGGGTTTCCCTTCAGGTGCACCTCGCGCGCTGGTTTTCAGGGTTTGGTTTCTTGTGAGGGTTTCTTGCGGCCGCGCCCACATTGTAGGGTAAATATGATGTGCTTATATACTGCCACACCCGTTCTGTGCTTTGCGCAATGTGCCTGGCTGTCTCGAGAACGAAGACATGCAGCCAATTTTCACAGCTAGGGACGTCGTAAATGACATTGGTCCGATTGTATGGACCACGACTTCTTGAGCAAAGTGTTCCTTCTCAGCGGCATGCGTCCAGAATCCGGTTTTGTTTGCTACGGGAGTTGAGGGACGTGAGCAAGGCCAGGTAGGCCGCAGGCCGCGAGAACCGGGTGTGTCGCTGACCGCTGGCCCCCGCTGGCCGCCACGTCTGGCGTGCAGCCGACCCCCCTCCCCCCCTTCCCCGCCCAGCGCCCAGGTCGTGGGCGCCGAGATCCGCGCGGAGTGCTCGGCACGCCCTCGCCGCGCCTCGGCCCCCTCTCCTAGTGGAGCAAATAATGACATATCCGTAAGGGCTTCGCCACCTGCCGCCGGCCCCCTCTCTATCAGAGTGGGGCATAACTCGGCACGAACGACATGGGTACGGAAATAATGGGTACGATGCCCAACAGCAGTTCTTGCTCATTTTGAACAGGACTCGCTGTCCGCGCCGCCGCGGCCTGTGTCCATTTGAGACAGAAGGCCGCATGCCCAACAGCGGCCGCTGCTGGTTTGGGACACCATTTGTTGTTGGGCACTGTACCCATGTTTTCCGTACCCATTTCGGGCGTCCAAAATAACAGAGTCGCGTCGGTGCGTCTCGGCGCTGCCTTGGCGCATCTGGGAACAGCCCCTTCTTCTGGGGGAGCGAAGAGTGGCATATAAGCATACAATCTCGGAGGTCCGCGCGGATTTCTCGGATCTGCGCTGGACCCCGGCGCCTCCGGCACCGCCCCTGGCGCGCTCCGCGCGGCCAGGGAGTGGGGTCCAGCGCGAATCCGAGAAATCCGCGCGGACCTCAGAGTTTTTATGCTTACATGCCGTTATTTGTTCCCCCCTTTTCCCAGACACACGATCGCGTCGTACAACAAAATCATCACGCCGGGCGATTTGTGGCCTGGCCGCTTGTCGGCCTCCAGGGGCCCTCGCCGGGCGCCTGGGCCGTCGACAAAAAACGGTTCAGGAAGAGAAGCGGGTCCCGGGGAAGGGGAGGATCTCGGAGGTGGAACGGGGGCGCCACGGAGGGCGAGCCCGTCACCACGGCTCCCTGCGCCTCCGCCAGACGCGCAGGGAGAGGAGGCGGTCCTCAGGGGCGCGGTCCCCTGACCGGCGGCGGCCCGCGCCCGCTCGGCGCGCGGACCAGCTGCCGACAGCCACTGCGGCCGGGGCGGAAAGCTGGAAACAACAGCGAGGGGAAGACCCAGACGTGCGACGCCCTGATTGTTTCCATCAGCGGCCCCTGGAAGTCCCGACGGACCCCCGCGGCGTGAGTCACGAGCACCCGCCACGACATGCCTTCCAAGGATGGTGGCAATAGTGTCGTCCAGCTGCTGCGGCTTCGGCTTCTTCTTGTACCTCCTTATTTCGGGGGGGCGCAAGACCCGGATAAGCCGGGACGCGAGTTTCGCGCGGGAATTCAAAAAATTAGTTGCGAACGCGCGTCGGTTACATTCCGCGACGCGGCGCTGCTGGAGGGCGTTTTTTCGGCAGGATCGCTAGAAGCTCTAGTGAACCGAGTGATGCCTGGGACAGGGTTCAGGGGCTGTTGAGGGCCTCTCGAGGCCATCTGTGGGGCTGGCGTGGGGGGTACACAGGAAGAGATGGACGAAGCAGGAGGCAACGGGAGGAGAAAGAGATGAGGGGAGGTGGGACAACAAGTGGAGGGGACCATCGCGGGGCAATGAATAATCAGGGGAGGGTCCGTCAAAGAATTTTGACGCGGGGAGTCGGGCCGGTCATGCCGCCGACGTGGGCCACCGTCCGCTCGTCAAAAAAAAGTGGTGCTCGTCAAATTTTACGCGCCAGAATTCTTTGAGAATGTCTCGAGCAATCGTCGTCGTCAAATTTTGGTTGGGCCTCGTCGAATTTATGATGGCCTCGTCAAATTTGATGTTGGGCGCGTCAAATTTTGACGTCCTCGTCAAAATCGGTTGGGGGGTCCAGATGCTCATGGCAGGCCTGTCCCATATGATGTTTTGGAACGTTTTTTTGTGTCCTCTGGATTCGCAGTGGTAGTCGTAAAATGCGGCACGAACAAATCTGAAACTAGAAAGGAAACCTTTCGCACTTGATAGGGACATACGCGCGCGGGCGCACGTGTAGCACGCTTCGCGAGCGAAGCGGCATGCCATTCAATGTCTTCTTGATTGCATCGTTGAGAGTGGTGCGAGTCGTTGCAGCAAGGGGCCAGGGCATTCGATTGGACGCGGCACACTTGCATCGGAGCGCCCCAAAATTTTTGACGGACCTCTTCCGTCGTACCCGGGTCCTCCGTACCCGGGTCTTACGTCACCCCGATTATTGCAGCAGCTGTTGTGGGGCCGCGTCCCTGGGGACCGCCCCCTCTCCCCGCGCATCTGGCGGAAGCGCGGGGAGCGTTGACATCGGACTCGCACTGTGGCGTGACATCGTTCCACCTCCGAGATCCTCAGCACCCCGCAGCGGACCCCCACGACAGCTGCCGTGAGCACCCGCCACGACATGCCTTCCAAGGAGCGTGGCAGTACCAGACAGGCTGTCTTCGTGCTGCTGGTTGCTGTCGTGGTACTGGTCCTGCTTTGCTTCTGTGATGGGAGCGGTCAGTGTCGGCGGGCGCGGCTCTGCACGCTGACATTCATCAACCGCCCCCCCTGGCTGACGCAGGGAGTGGCCGTCCCCTCGGCCCCGTTGCTAGCAACGGTTTGACGCCTGAGGTGGCTGTCGTTAGCTCTGCCATGTCCGCAGAACTGTGGCGACGTGCTGCCAGGCAGGTCGGTACTCACAACCATCCTCTCGCGAGGTGGCGTGGTGCGTGCCTGCTGGCTGGTCTCGTCGGACGGGTCGAGGTCGCTTGGTGAGGCATCTCGGCAAAACGCGGGAGCGTATCGGAGGAGGAGGAGCGACACCAGCAGCAACAGGGTGCCCACCTCCAGCGAGGAGGTCCACGATGCCTCCCCGAGCTGGAGGGTGGGGATGTCTCGAGCGAGGGGGCGGGACCGCACCACCAGGGAGACCCTCCTTGCCTCCTCGCATCTTCTCGCCCTGGTGGTGTTGGTGTCGCCTTTCCTAGTTCCTGACGCAGGACTCGAGAGCTGCGGGACCTGGGCCTGCCGCTGCTCTCCGATGCTCGCGCCCTGGATTTGGGCGGCCCCGTTTCCGTGGGATGTCTGCAGCGGGAGCTCGCGTCGAAGTTCAGACTGGGCCTCGTTCTTTGCACGATGACCCAATTAGGCCAACCCCGGTCCCCCGAACCCGAGTCTTCTGTCTCCCCGTTCCTCTGGAGGTAGGGAAGGGGTGTGTGGTGTTAATTTCATGTAAAGAAGACTGGCGATGTTATTTATCGCAGCTGTGTCGTGGGGGGATTCGTGCGGATGGCAACATTATGCGTGGTGGGGTTCAGGATGCGTTCCACTTTTGTGCCGTAATGGGGCTCTGTTGGGTTGTGTTGGGGGCCTGGTCAGATGTCCCGGAGGTCTCTTCAGGCCGTTTCTGACTACCGAGGGCCCTCCTAGATCATCGTGGGTCCGTCGCGAAGGGACATGGATTCAAGTACGTCGCGTGCCTTTCTGATCATTGACTGGGTTCTGCTAGTCCATCTGCATGTATCGGATGAGCCAGATGGGCCTTCTTGTGGCGGCCTTGGATGCCTCTTTGGGCCGTGTTGGGTCTCTCTTGGGTGTTCACGGGTCTTTCCGCGGCTTCTTCACCTGCACGGAGCCGATCTGTGAGAACTCGTGCGCCGTGTTGGAGCGTCTGGGGTCCGACGCAAGGAAATGATTGATGTTTTCAGACTTCGCCCCCTCTTCTTCTGGTATCTTGGAGGCTTCGTGAGCATTTCGGAGGCGTCTTGGAGACACTTTCGAGGCTTATTGAGGCATCTTCGGTGTCTCGCGTTTTCGACCTCCCGGCGCTCCACGACAGCCGACGCCGCCCCAAAGACCGCCCCAAGACCGCCGAAAAGGCCTCCATCAGAACCCCACGACTGCCCCAGGGAGCCCGAAAATTGCCCGGGACGAGCCTCAAACGGGGCATGGTGGGGGGGTCCCGGACAATGTTTGCAGGGTGGGTGGCCCCTGAGAATCGGTGCCCAGGGGTCGGGGGGGGAGGCATGCTGGGAGGGGTCCAGGACGATTTTTGGAGGGCGGGTGGCCCCTAAGAACCTGTGCCCAGAAGCTCCATGAGGCTGCCAGTGTCAGGGGTGGTGGGGGGCAGGGTGGGGGGACTCAGGACGATTGTTGCAGGGTAGGGGCTCCAGGAGGCTGCCAGTGTCAGGGAAGGTGGGGGCATGGTGGGGGGGTGTCCTGGGCAATTTTTGCAGGGTGGGCGGCTTCTAAGAACCTATGTTCAGAGGCCCCATGAGGCTGGCAGTGTCAGGGATGGTGGGGCGAGTCCCGGACGATTTTTGCAGGGTGGGTGGCCCTAAGAACCCATGCCCAGAGGCTCCACGAGGCTGCCTGTGTCAAGGGTGGTGGGGGCATGGTAGGGGGGGGTCCTGGACGATATTTGCAGGGTCGGTGGCCCCTGAGAACCTGTGCCCAGAAATTCCATGAGGCTGCCAGTGTCAGGGGTGGTGGGGGCATGTTTGGGGGGGTCCCGGACGATTTTTGCACGGTGGGTGGCCCCTAAGAACCTGTGCTCCGAGGCTCCATGAGGCCGCCAGTGTCAGGGGTGCTGGGGCATGGTGGGGACGGTCCTGGACGATTTGTGCAGGGTGGGTGGCTCCTAAGAACATGTGCCCAGAGGCTCCATGAGGCTGCCAGTGTCAGAAGTGGCGGGGGCATGGTGGGGGGTCCCGGACGATGTTTGCACGGTGGGTGGTCCTGCACAACCTGTGCCCAGAGGCTCCATGAGGCTGCCAGTATCACGATTTTTGCAGGGTGGGTGGCCCCTAAGAACCTATACCCAGAGGCTCCATGAGGCAGTGAGTATCAGGGAAGGTGGGGGCATGGTGGGGGTGGTGTCCCAGACGATTTTTGCAGGGTGGATGGCCTACTAGAGCCTGTGGTCGGAGGCTCCATGAGGCTGCCAGTGTCAGGGGTGGTGGGGGCATGGTGGGCGGTCCCGGCCGATTTTTGCAGGGTGGGTGGGTTGTAAGAGCTTGTGCTCAGAGGTTCCATGAGGCCGCCAGTGTCACGGAGGGGTGGGGGCATGATGGGGGGGTTTCAGGACAATTTTTGGCCGGGGGGGGCCCTAAGAACTTGTGCCCAGGGGCTCCAGGATGCTGCCCGTGTCAGGGATCCCAGACGATTTTTGCAGGGTGGGTGGCCCCTAAGA